CACACCAACGGGCTCGACAAGGTGGAGCTTTCCCCAGAGACGGCGGCCTCGACGGCCTCCGAGGTGGATTCGCAGCGGCGTTCACGCTGATGGCGCCCACGGCGGCGTGACGATGCAGAAGAGCATGATGACATGCATCTTCCGGCATGGCCGGAGAATTCGACTAATTTATCGGGATCTGTGCACGCATCCTCCACTTCTTTCTCAATTCCTTCTGCGCCGGGGGCCTCGTGTTCATCGACGCGGGCACGCAGAGGGAGCGACGCGACTCCTCAGGCACGCTCTCCGGGACAAGCTCCGACAGCCACGTGTTCTTCAACGCGTCCGCTCAGAGAGCAGGGAGCTTTGCCTTTGGACCCTCTTCCTCCTACTTCTCGTTCTTCTTCCCGTGCTGCCTACTCCAACTATTTCTCGGGCGACCTCTCCGGGTGCGTCTGGAATGCACGGGGCTTGTGTTGCGTGGACCCGCAACGCAGGAATTTCAAATCCAGGTACGCCGTAAACCTCGCCTACCGCCACGACTTCACCATTTTCCTCGAGGCCCATTCTGCCCAGAAGAGAAGCAGAACTCTTGAGCGGAAGCTTTGTGGGGACCATCGTTTCTTCTGGTGTGACTCTGACGCTGCCCCGAATGCTGGGGGGATCGGGATTGCGGTCAAGAGCACCTTCCTCGCCGACTTCCCAGAGATCAACTTCAATCCACGTATCGTTGGTCGACTCTGTACTCTGTCTCTGCTTGGGTCGCGGGGGCATCTGGTGATATGCGGTGTGCATGTTGAGGGAGACCGGCAGCAGCTACTAGAAGAGTTGTCTTCGGCGGTTCGTACCTATTCTGAGGCCACTCTCATTCTTCTTGGGGACTTCAATTCGGTTGCATGCGAGTCCGACCGGTTTGATGCCACCACTGGTACCTTCACTGGCACCGTCGTACGGGACACCTTTGACACGCTGCCATGTCTTGAACTGCTCACCGAGCTGATGCAGGACGATTTCACGAGGAAAGGGGTTGATGCTGCAGGACATCTTCAGTACAGCCGGATCGACCGCATATTTACATCGCTACCGAGCTCTCTCCTAAGCAATCTTGACGTTCGCGTTGCCTCTCCTGGACTTGCCGCGCTCCCCCGCTTCGACTTGAGCGACCACACTCCCGTCTTCTTCACTTGGCGGCAGCGTAGCAGCTCAACTCGATCCCCAATTATTCCAAGTTGGGTACCTCGGCACCCACTGTGGGGCATCGTGCTTGATGAGCTCCGCTTTACACAGACTGCCGACAAATTGGGCGATGAGGTCGAGATGAAGCGCCTCTTCCACAAGGCCAGCTCCGAGGTCAAACGTAGGGCTCAACACCATGGTGCCCGCACCTCCGAGGAGAAGCTTTGGTGGTGTCTGAAATTTCTTCGCTCTGTGCACAACGGTTGTATTCAGCAGGCCCTCTCTGCAGCCGGCGTCTGCTCCGACCTCCAGGACATTCTTGGCAACTGTTGCCCCTCGAGCTGGACTCATTCAGTGCTCTCTCAAGTGGAGTCCTTCATTCAGCGCCTCAGCCAGGCGACGGCCGAGGAGCGACTGCAGGAGCTGGAGGATGCTGCCGACCTCCCGGAGTTCTACAAGAGCCGGAAGCGGTCTGGACTCATAGCGTGGGCTGCTCAGTTTTCACCGAAGCGCCGGCGTGCAGGCCTCCGAGGTCTCATCGACAACCAAGGTCTCCCAATTACCGATAATACGGTCGCTCATGCTGCCGTTGCTGACTACTGGGGTCCAGTTTTCACCGCGCAGCCTGTCGATGAGCAGGCAGGCAAAATCTTTCTGGACAAGTACGCTGTGCAGCTGCCGCGCCTTCAATGGGATATTTCGTTCGACGACTTCTCCAAGCTTCTCTCTGGCTTCACCGACTCAGCCCCTGGGCCCGATGGCGTGCCCTACGGCGCTTGGCGGCATGCGCCCGAATTGTGCCAACGTGTGCTGTATTCTGCCTTGCTTTCATGGCTAGCCGGCGCGCCGCTGCCTCGCGATGCCAACTATGCGTGGCTTGCCCTGCTTGCTAAAGGTCACGATCTAGCCTCGGGCCCCGCAGGCTTCCGATCCGTGCCCGACACGCGCCCGCTGTCACTGGGCAACTCTGATGTCAAGATACTTGCTGCTTCAATCAACCGGATTCTGGAGCCCGCGGTAGGCAAATGGGCCTCTGACCCACAGCGCGGATTTATCAAAGGCCGGCAAATGCTCGACAACGTCATCGAGGTGGAGACCCATATGGCCACCGCAGCTTTAGCTAGAGATTCGCAGGAACCCGGTCAGCCGGCAGCATGGCCTAGCAGTCCGTGCCCAGCTTGTCTGCTGAACGACTTCGGCGCCGCATTTCCGAGCTTGTCTTTAGCATTTCTGTGGATGACGTTGGAAGCGATCGGAGTTCCAGTGTCCATCATCACGGCCGTGCAGCAGCTATATCGTGGGAACGCACATGTTTGGCGATTTGGCGGGATAATAACTGAAGTTTTCACCATTACTTCTGGGGTGAAGCAAGGTTGCCCCCTCAGCCCTACGCTGTTCGTTATAGCAATTGACGCATTTCTTCGAGCACTGGTTCATAACTTGGGCGACCGCTGCCTAGTGCGGGCTTTTGCCGACGACATCGCCATCATACTGGGGAGGTTATGGATTGACGGGCCTGTCACAGCATTCCTTTTCAACGAGTTCGCACGCATTTCGAATCTCAAGAGCAAGCCTCGGAAATGTGTGATCATTCCCTTGTGGCCGATTTCTTTGGAACGCTTCGCACGGCTTCTCAAAGAGGAGATTCCTCTCTGGGGCGAGTTCTTGTGTGACTCTTCTGGCAAATACCTCGGTTTCTTCCTCGGTCCGGGAGCGGGCTCGTTATCTCTCTTGGCACCCATGCGCAAGTATGTGGGCAGAGTCCAGTACATCAAAGATCTTTCACTCAGCTTGCCTGCCACTGCATTGCTGTACAACTCCATCGCCATCAGCGTGCTGGGGTTCGTCTTGCAGCTGATCGAGCCGACCGCTGACCTCCTGAAGACCGAGCGTGCGATGCTTCGCAAACTGGTCGCTGGACCAGGGAACTGGCTGCCCCCGAAGTACGAATTCAATCTCGACCGGCTTGGGTTACCAGTGCCGTTTCGGTCTATGACGGCCTTGCATCTGGCTTCTGCGGGTAGGACCTTGTCTACTACATGCCCTGATTGGCGCACCAGCTTCAGCTTAATGCAGCGCGTTGCTTTGAGTGACCATGCTCCGCTGCTGTGGAGGTGGCAATCGTGGCTTGATCGTTTGGCCGTCCGTGTTTTGGATCGCGCACAAACCCGGCTCAACACAATGGGAGTTTCATTGATTACGGTTCGCGGTGAGGCTAGGGCCGACCAAGCTGCGATTTACAAGCAATTGCATGGCCGCTTGTTTCCGGCGTGCCCTGTGCAGGCCATCCAAAGACGTCTGAAAAGGTGGAGCCACATTTTAGGACCGTCGAAACTGCGCGTCTGCGCGGAGTGTTCTGCAAGCAACATGTCCACGTTGCGACGACAGGTTCCTCCGTGTGTCCTCTCTGCCTGTATTCATACTCTTTTCAATGGCTGGACAACCGCACGGCGTTTTCAAAAGGAAGCCCCGTGCGTCTGCTGCAAGACCTCAGGGTCCGATTCGATCGAACATTATTGGTGTTGTCCGGTCTTCGTGGAGGCAGGCCGTCGCTATTTGCAGCTTGATTTGTCAAATTGGTCGCTCCGCCAGTTCTTACTTTGTTCCCCGTCCCACCCCTCTCTCAAGGCCGTTTCACTCCATGTGTATAGCTGTTACACAACTCATGCTTACCTTCGGCATCAGAGCGCTGGGGACAATGCGCTTTGGGTGTACCGGTCTCAGTTGCGTGGCGTGCAGGAGCGAATGTGATTTCTGACGCCCGGGAGGGCGCGGGGGAAATTCCGTACAAAACGACCGTTTTGTACAGAATTTCCCCCCTGGCGTTTTCAACGAGTCTGTTGGGTACGTCTTAAAGTGAATTCGTATCATTGGCTATCTGGGTTTTCCTCTGTCTCCTCCTCCTCCTTCCCCCTTGTCTGCACGAGTTTGCGGTCAGAATTTCGGCCACGTTCGCAGGACAACCCTGCTGCTTGTGCAGGTTCTTCGCGAGTGTTACGTTCTACCCGAGTCCGGGGCCATTGCTGCTTTTTTTTTTCTGCCTCTAGTGCTCCTGGTCGTGTTCGTTCGGGTTCGCGGCAAGGAAAGTCCCCTTGAGGGGCAGCGGATTCCTCCTTCTCCCCTGCTTGTTTGCCTTGAAAAAAAATCTTTGCGGGTACAGATCCGTCGGTTACGGTCCCAGGCCGTTTGCACGAAGGGGGAGGATTGCTAAAGAGATGTTTGTCCAATGAGCGTCGGGGGGACGTCACCCCCGCCGACCGCCCCACATCGACCCTTGTCGCGGGCAGCCACCGCGCGCCGGAGGCGCTCCGACCTCCGTCGCGGCGCGGCGACGATAGGCGAGGTCGGCCCCGGGTTGGGGGGGTGCCCCCCCCGCTCATTCAGAAACCCAGGGTACCTTTTGCATCCTTGCCTCCTCGGCCATCCTTGGTTACTGTCGCTGGTCGCGCCCCGTTCGAAATGTTTCGAAATGGGGGTCCGAGGCCCTTGCGTCCTGATCGCGCGTCCTTCTGATACGGGCCGGCTGTACAGAAACCCCACCAGGCAGCACTTAGCATTTCTACCACGCCTCAACGTGCCAGAAGGCACGACGTCGGATACTTGGACTCACGTTCCTCTTCCCCCAGCCTTCTTGCCGCCCGCTGGAAGGTTCTTCGAGCAGTGCAGGAAGGAGAAGGAGGACGAGGAGGCGGGTGGCGACGATGATGTTGATGATGGCAAGTGAGATCACGATAGCCGTTGATGGTGACTAAAATTGACAATCGTTTGGAGGAAACGTGCAGTCGAAACACGTGCAAGCGCATGACGCAGGCAACATCGGGCGAATCGGGGGTCCGCTGGCGCAGGCAACCCTGGCGTGGTGCCCTACGACGTATTCTTGTGGGGAGTCTTCCGGGGCGACGAGGTGGCCCTGCGTTCGATGAGGATCGGGGGCGTTCGAAAGACCCACCCGCACCGAACCTCGCCGTCTACCACCTTTCCAGTTTGGACGAGGACGGAAGAAGATACTGTGATAGGAGAGGACGAGGGGGATACGGGAGAAGGAGGAGGAGGAGGAGGAGAAGGTGGATGAGGGCGGGCGAGGAGGAGGAGGAAGAGGCGGACTAGAGAGGAGGAAGATGAGGACGAACATAATGATCATGGAGGATGGGTTGGGAGGGCAGGGGATGGATGATGATGAGGGAGGAGCAGGGGGGAGGGGAGGACTGGAGCACGCAGGTCGGAGGATGGGCAGGTGGAGGACGGAGGTGGAGATCGGGGGACGGAGTAGGAGAAGAGACTCCGAGCAAGTAAGATAAAACAAGCACGTGTGATAAAAAGCAAGTGTGTTGAAAAACAAGTGTGATTCGAACAAGTGTGATAAACAAACACAAGTGTGGTAATTAAATCTTGATGTTTTGTCACGCTTTTTTATGTATCACACTTGTTCGGATCACGCTTGTTTTTTCATCACACTTGTTTTTTTTTATCACGCTTATTTTTTATCACACTTGTTCGGATAGTCTCAGGCGTATCTTTCTGATGCGGGTGGGCCTCGAAGGCCTCAACCCTTCGGGAAGCGGGGTCTGGTGGAGGGCGGAGCGCACGAGCTCGCGGCCTGAAGCGGGGGACGGCAGATAGCCGATAGCCACAGTGTCGAGGTGTTCCGCGCGTGCCAGCTCACTGCTGAAGCGAACGTGCCTTGGTGATGGCTCGCAATCGATACAGTGGAGGCCCATGCCAAGAAGCACCCTGCTTGCCTCCAGGGTGCCCTGGGTGTCTTGGGTTTCGATGGTGTTGCCACGGAAAGCGTGACGTTCCCACACCAAAAATCAATGGACGTCCTGGGATCTCAGGGTTGGGTTTCTTGTGGAAGGCTTCTTGTGCTCGGGCCCCTACTGTAGGGCCTCATCTGCCCGGAGACGCGGGCTGCTGGAAGAGCGTGGATTGCCCATGGTATCCTTTTCTTGGGGGCCACGGGTTCAAGATGTTACACAAGGTCGGGGGTGGACAGAACCCCCAACAGTGACACGTCGATTAGTGAACTGTCCGTTTTCGGTTCTCGAGAGGGCGCCGTGGCCGTTATTTTCCAGGCTTGCGCCCGCCAGGTTTGGGCCTCAGGTCGTTTTCAGTAGACCACGTTTTACTAACGGGGGGCCTGTCCATCCCCGAAAAGGGCGAGGCAAAGCACACTGCGCACGTGTGGGGGTGAGGTCAGACGGGGCCCCGCGCCCCCCCGCCGTTGAATTGTCGGGAACTTTCGCACCTGGAGCGGTCACGGATGCGTCTCCACACTGTCTCCGTGACATTTGCACTGGGCTCTCGCACGTTCTCATTGTCACTGCGATGGCGCGGCCATTTGCGAAACCGTGGCCTCTCCAAGCAGTTTGGCACTCGTGACTCTGCCCTGACGTGTCGGGGATCTCCCTCTCTTCGCCCCTGGCGGGCGGACGGGAGGTGATCGCAGGGACCGGTGCGCAATTTTATCGAAAACGCTCCATCTTGCGACTGCAACGGGGAGGTCTTTTTTTCAATCCCCAGATTCACGAGGCTTACGCCATTCCAAGAGGGACGGTCCAAGAGGGACCCAGAACGGCCCCAGAGGCTCTCAAGAGAACCCCCGAGAGGGCTTCGGCATGCCAAAACAATTGGTTCTCTTTGGTTTCTTGCAGGTTTTTAGGGTTCTCGCCTTCTTGAGCCGAGAACCCAAGAACGGCCCAAGACGTTTCAAAAGGCAGCAAAGATCGTTTGGAACAAGCCGTTTGTGCTCAGGCAAGGTAAGGCACAGTTCAGCCTGATCCGCCCGGGTTGCGCCGTGACTGGTTTTCTCTGGCGCGCCATGCCCATCCCGAGGGTCGAAGAGTTCTTGACCACGAAGAACACGTTCTTGGACTGCAGGTCGCCGTGGATCGAGCCCGTTGTGCAGCTTGCTAGGCCCAGCTCTGACCCCACCCCTTCCTCCTCCAATACCGAGGATTCGACGGCCAGCGGCAGAGCGGCCAGCCGCGGGAGGACACCTCCCAGCGTCAGCGCGGCCAGCCGCGCCGACGGCTTCCGCGCCGGGGCCACCTTCGTGCGCAGGACGCGGGCGCAGCGCCGCCGCCAGCAATGCAAGCATATCAAGACGGAGGGGGAGGCTCGCGTCTTCCGCCACGGGAGCGGCCGGAGCCAGGTGGCCGACGGTCACGAGGCAGTCTCTGGCCCGCTGCAGGCGCAGGCGGAGGACCCGTCGCCAGACCGTCTGATCCGCCAGAGGCGCGACCACCAGAGCCACCTCGCGGGGGCTGCCTCGCCGGCCGGGTCGGATCACGCCAGGAGTACCGCCCAGACCAAGATCTCGCTGTGAGGCGTTCGGAGTCGGCCTCCACGCAGATCTAGTAGGAAGAGGAAGAGGTCCCCATACCTCTACCCGTTCCTCGTTTTACCCTCTTTGGGCCTCCTGGGAGGCCCTCGTCGCCACCGCTGGTTTCGCCTCGAAATCCTGGTCAGAACGCAACCCCGGGAGAGGTCTGGGGAGTGGCGGTATCGGTACCTGTTGGTACCCGAGGGCGGCAACACTTGGCCTTCCCTCCCGCGAGCGATTGGCAGCGGGGCTTCCAAGGCAGCCCTTCAGAGGCGAGAACACAGGTGAGGCCAAGGGCCTTGCCGGACACATAAGGATCCTGAAGTGTTCTTTCATCAGTTGAGGCTGGTCGCCAGGTGTATCGTGACCGTGGGCAGATTTGATCGCTTGCCTTACTAGCCACTCGTTTATAGAAAGAGGGTCAGGAACGAGAGGAGGACGACGAGGGGACGGGAGTAAATTTCAATTCGCAAAGGTCTGGCCCGCATGCAATTTTTGCCGCAGGTCGCAAGCACGACTGGAATAGGCGCATTGCCAATGGCGAGCGCTAGCATATACTTGATTGGACAGGCCCCGCTGAAATGGCGATGTCTCTGCGCTGGGGCATCTTTATATATCAGTTTCGCTCTGCAGGTTTCAGCACCACCGTGCCGTTCCCCCTGTAATCAGGAGGGTGAACAGGTAGGAACGAATCGTTGCATGGTGTCGTGCAAGTGTGCGGAGCGTTCTGAAGCACATCTTGGCCTGCCCGATTATATCGTTGTCGATGCTTTGTGTTAATCTGCAGAACATGCTGCAAATCACAAACAAAGGCAGCACAGATCGTCCCAAACCTATCCTAGGAGCCCCCAAGAGAGCCCCACGAAGGCCCAAGAGGGCCCCAAGGCGGCCCAACGAGGTCCAAAGACGGCCCAGAAGGGCGCTCCCAAGAGGGCCCCAGGAGGCACCCAAGAGAGCCCCAAGACGACCAAAAACCCTCCAAGACGGCCGAAGACGGCCCAAAGTGGCCCCAACACGGCCAAGGATGACCCCAAGACGTCCTTAGAGAGCTCCAAAAACCGACCCCCAAGAAGGCTCGGCGACGAGTAGCAGAGGCCCGGAAGCGCTCACAGTGACGTGATCAGCTCTTCACACCACGGCTCCCGATATCTAGCAGTAGCGTAAAAAGCTTCCAACACCAAGGCTCCCCCAAATTCGCACAAACGTGACAGGCTCTGAACACCGAGGGTCCCAAGAGCGAGCGGTAACGTAACAAGCTCTTCACGCCAAGGTTCCCAAGAGCTCACGGTGACGTGAAAGCCTCCTCACACCAGGGCTCCAAAGAGCGAGCGTTGACGCAACGAGCTGATAGCACCTCAGTCCCAAGAGCCTAGGCTGACGTGGCAAGCTCTCCACGTTCTTTCCGTTTGAAGGGTTCCCGACACCACGGCTCCGAGGAACAGACGGTGCCACGAGCCATCGCGGGCCAGTTCTTCATAGCGTTTCCGGCGTTCTCTCACACGCCCTCCTCCCGCAGGAGGCCCCGAAGGCGGCCCCCGGAGGCGCCGACTACATTCTGGACGCCCGAAATGGGTACGGAAAGACTGGGTACAATGCCCAACAACAGTTCTTGTTCATTTTGAACAGGATCCGCTGTCCACGCCGCCGCGGCCTGTGGCCATTTGAGACAGAGTGCCGCCTACCCAACAGCAGCCGCTGTTGGTTTGGGACAACATTTGCTGTTGGGCATTGTACCGATTTTTTCGGTACCCATTTCGGGCGTTCAAAAGCACGGCGCCGCCGAGGAGAGCCTCGCCCTGGTGGGGCACCGCGGCGTCTCGAGCCCGCGGGGCCCTGTACGGGCGCCGCCGCCACGTGCGTCCGCCGCAGTGTCCCGTCCCCTGGGCTGCGGCCCCCCAGCGGGCACGGGGAGGGGAAAAGAGGTACCCATACCTCTGACCTTCCAGAGAGCTGTTTTTCTAACAGGTTTTTTAGTCGCAGTGCTATTCTTTAGCCCTCCTGGAAGGTCAGGGACCTCTACCCCTCTCCTTCGTTCTTCCAGGCCTCCCGACCGAGCCTGTCGCCCTGGTTCACCTTTCGCGATCTGATCGATGTGGGTTCTCTCCTGCATTGCCTGTAGGCTGTACCTTGGCAGGCTGCTTGGCTTCACTCTTGATTGCACGCGTTTGGCGTGCCGCTTTTTTGGTCCTTGCCCAAGCGCTTTTGGCGTATGGCTGCTTCGTTTGTTCGTTTGCCTCAGCTTGTCATGAGTTTCGATGAGTTCTTCCGCACCTTCCGCGGAGGTCGGAATCTATAGAATGTGAGGGTGGAGGGACCCTTCTCTCGCTTTCCCCGTTTTGGGCGTTCTGCGAGGCCCTCGTCGCCACCGCCAGATTTGCCTCGAAATCCTGGTCAGAACGCAACCCCAGGTACTATGTCCGCGGTTTGAGGGGGTGCCAGGCGGCAAGGCAGCCAGGCAGGTTTCAGAATGACGAAGTGGCTGTACGACAGCAGGGCTCAGGACCAAGTCGGTTACGGTAGAGGCCTGCGTTCCAAAATCCAGCCGTTTCCAAAACGAGGGCGATACAATGCGGAGAACATGACCGCCATTTTCAGCGGTTGT